TATATATATACTTTTTAATTAAAACTTCTCTATTCTCTCTCTTTGCATAAAATTTGGATTCTTTTTCTATTTGCTTTGCATATGTTTTTTTGTCTTTTTTTAGAAAGTTCTTTTTTTTTAGAAATATATATTTGTGCATAAACATCTATAATGTAATTATAACAATCTATTTTTGAAATATTTATTTTGTAAATATTCTTAAAATAGTTCTAAAAATCTTCTATGCATATATTATTTCAATATAATATTCTCTTAATCTATTCTATTAACAAAAAATATTTAAAATGGTCTGATTTTAATGTTTTATATTTGTTTAAATATATGAAACATCTTTTGCATCTTATAAATTTATATTGTGAAAATATTCTAACGTTTCTAAAAAACAATTATAGAATTTTCATAGAAAATATTTGTTATTTAGTTCAATTTTTTTTGTGTACTCACGCAACATTTTGTTGTAAACTGCGATTTCAAGATTGATGATCGAACCTTACACTTTATTATCACAAACAAAGAAATAATATACTATTATTATAAAAAGACACGTATATCAAGAAAGCTATTTGATACGATAGCTCAATGTCATGAATGAATGACTAATACAGCACGTAATGCGACTTATTTTGCTTAGTAATAACAGAAAAAAGCCTAAGAGCGACTATGCTTCCGCGATTTAGACAAAATCCGTATTCAAGACGCCTTCATGATTATAAAACATGGACATTGAACTATGTAGCCATGTCCATAAAAATTCCCAGTAGGTAATATACTACTGTATCCCAGGGTTATGCCGTACACTCAGTGACAGGAATGTATGTACTACATACGCCGTCGCTAGATTTCTCTACTAATACGCTGCGCATGCGCGAGAAAGCGTCCCCGAGAACAACACTGGTTCCGTGCTATGTACACAAAGGCCTTTATTCTGAGCTCACATTTAGAGGCACATCTAAAGTGCCACATTTAGAGGCGCATCTAAAGTGCCACATTTAGAGGCGCAGATAAATGTACTAGCATAGACATAGTATATCTAGACCGAGCGTTTGCCTTTATTTAAGGAGTGGGGGTAAAGATACACGTAGAAAAGGACATACTCTGTTTCGTGCCCCTTGCGTTCTCTCTCGCTCGCACAGAGCATAGCGTTCTCTTTCATCATGCTACGTGCGAGCGAGAGAGAACGCAAGGGGCACGAAACAGAGTATGTCCTTTTCTACGTGCACCTCGGCTCCCACTCCTCAACACTCGGTCTAGATATACTATGTCTATGTGTACTAGTAATACGACTAAAGTTAGTCGTATTTTCATCGCACATTTATAGCGCCTCTAACTTAGAGGTACATTTATGATTTTAGAGGTATATTTATTTATTTATTTACCATGTTGTATATATATTATGCTTATTACGTGCATAGGGCACTGTGATTGACCTTCAAACAGTTTATTATATCACGCACCATAAGTTAAATTAGTAAATTTCACTTCAATCTTTCTTTCGATGCTACTGCAACACAAAACGCAAACGCGCATATAATTGTAACAACATTCTTTAATTAATCGATATTTTTGTCGGAACTTGTGATCATTATAAACGTCTTCAAAAACGTCTATTCTATTTCGAAATACCCGCGGGTCACGATCACGCACTGCTTTTATTTTCCAAATTTCGATCGTATGATCAATGGCCTAGTTTATAATATATTTTAATACGTAAAATAAATTCTGTCCAATCACAGTCGTTCCATTCTTTAAGAGGAATGGCTATGATTGGCCAGTGTAATACGTATTAAAGTATATTGATGTAAATTATGCCATAATTAATAAGAAGAGGATTGATATTTATCATTCAAGCCTCTTTTAACTTTTTAATTTTATTATTTATTTTAAGCCATAATCGTCAAATACGTCCATGATATTGCAGTTGAGTGTGCTCTTTCAATCTAGTTTTGCTTCAAAGTGCAAGATTCTTCGTCCTAATTAATCCTTCCAAGTGAAAATAGCGTCAAACAAAATGCACTCTTCATTGCATTTTACACAACTATACTTTTAGAAGAAATTTCAGAATTGACGAAATATCATTAATATTGTTGTATAAAAAAGTTCTATTATTTACAGAAACTTGATCTGTAATAATTTTATTAATGAAATCAATTGTATAACAGTGATAGAATTAATCAAACTTACGAAGCATCAAGTACAACGCGCCGGTATTACATATAAATGTACGTATAAATGTGCCCTCGGGCACATTTAGTGGTACATTTATCCAAAATGGCATAAATGTGCTATAAATGTGGTTCAGAATACGATTTTCACTATAAAGTTGCGCATTTAAGCTAAAAGTGGCGATCTGCCTCTAAATGTGCCGCTAAATGTGCGCTCAGAATACCGCCACATTTATCGTGTCATCTAAGGTACATTTAGAGGTACATCTAAAGATAGATGTGAGCTCAGAATACGGGCCAAAGTGTCGATAATATCAGAGAGAAGAATGAGAGTCGCCACGCTGCCGTTTTTCGTGAGACGCTTTTTCTAAGTCGTACACTAGCGTCACGTACATCCACTTTACGCCGCCTGGAACTACATGGCCACATCCACTTTCGAAGCTGATGAAACAGCCGATTGGTTCATGTCCGTGCTACATCCACTTTTTGATACTGTCGATTTTGGTTCATGTCCATGCTACATCCACTTTTCGATATTGTCGATGCTGGTAGTACACTGATCGTTTGACAAAGAGAGATGATTGCGCTGTCTTCGTCTCTCTTTCATTGCGTATATGTGTAGCGTCCGTGAAGGCACAACACCGATACGTTGAGCACAGGAATCGCTTATTGAGGAAATATTTAGTTCCTAACACAGCCACTATTCGTCGCTGTGATAACTTTTCCCAGACAATCGTAACCTACCTGAAACGTCAAAAAAAAAACTTGGAAACCCCGAGAGCCGTTTTAAACACGCGTGTGATTTTCGTAAGGGATTACTTTGAAAAATGCCAAGGTGGTGCGCAGTACCGTATTGTAGAACCGGCAGCAGAACGGAACAAATAAAGCGGTCTTTATTTGGCGTACCGAAAGACCCGGTTATATGGAAGAAATGGGAAGAGGCTATCCCAGGTATAGTCAAGTTGCGCCAGACGGACGTTATATGTGACAAACATTTTGAGGAAAAAGATATTTCCCGTGAGTGGATTAAGCTTGACGCAAATGATCAAGTAATTGCACGGGTGAGTAAAATGAAAAAATTTCATATCGGTTTCAAAAGAGTTCTGATATGTATTTTCTTGTATTTTTTTATTAAAGGTCACATACAAGCGTCCGCAACTTAAAAAGCAAGCCGTGCAAACAAAATTCGGTGACGTTCCGACAGGAAATTGTGAGCCGCTGCATGAATATGCGAAGCGAATATGCAATGTCTCTGTCGAATCCTCTAATATGATGAAACCATCAATTCAAATAATCAGTACCTTGGTCGGTGAGTTTTCTGAAACAAAAAGTATTAATTACATTGTTGATAAAAAAAT